CTAACTCGAGGAAGTTTACAGTTAGACTAAAGAAATTGAGTCTCAGGCCAAGAGTGAACACTCAAAATAACATTTATTCAACATTAACAGCTTCTCAAAAACATTCCACACTTTAAACATTAGTTCTATCGAGTTATTACTTATATATCGTACTAAAAACTTTATCTGCATACATTTACTATATTCTATGACTTCTACACTAGCTGATTAAGAGAGAGAGATTATACTTACTGTAGAGTTGGATTATTAGAAGCCTTAGCTACGTTGGCTATCTTCATTTTCACCTCTTTAGCCTGGAGAATACTCTTCAGTCCTGGAGAACTTGCTGGAGAACTTCACTTTTCAACCTCTGACATGGGTTTTTAAACTATTTTTTCTCTGTATTATTTCGACCTACTAAATAGGACACAGCATCACCCAAAAGTAGTCCTGTACTCCTATTGGATACTTTAGGGGAATTCCCAGGCTCAACCAGAACCATAACCAAAACTCTCAAGTAATTAGTCATAGATAAGTGGTGTTAGCCGACCGCCTATTCACTTGTACTGCTACACCCATGTGCTGTAACTAATACCACCTCAAAGTGCCGATATGACACACCAAACCTAAATTTTTCTGTAGCTTTCCTAGTTCTAAGAGGGCGAGGTCAACAATTCTTCAAATTGTCATATGTACTGGTGTCTTCATACCGTTTCTAGGCAGCATTTCTTACTAACTCTGCTGCTGACCTTGGTTACTGGTTTCCAAGCTCGCTTCTCAAGCTTATTTTTGTGATACACGTGTCTTGTTGCTTGTTTCTAGGTGATACTTCTTACATAACTAAGTTCCTGTTTATCAATTCTCAAGGCCTATTTCGTAACACAGGCGTCCCCTTGTTGCCTCTTTTCTTTTTATATATATCCTTGACTACTTGCTTATACTAAAAACCCTTAAATTTTTATCATATGTATTTTCAACTACTAAAACTCTGAAGCAATTTATAAAATTTCCTCGAAAATTTTCAAGTTGCTTCAACTGGCCTAAACTTTTCTGTGCTCTTGCATTTATGTGTGACTGCAGTAAAATATACAATTCTTATTTAGCAGAAGTTATGTAGAGATAAGTAATAGAGACATCCAGTAGGTTTATGTGAAGTGAACAAATTTGGTATTCTCAGATTGATCCTGCCTTAGGGTTAGCTATGAGTTACTCCTTTAAAAAGTAGCTGGCTATATATAAAACTACTTCAACATAGTAAAAAAAATATTTATATAAAAGAAGATGAAACAGTTTAATTTTATTTACTTACTTTTTGTATGCCCAGTTTAAGTGTATTCTTGATTATAGCTAATTTTTATTTTTACCAGACAGCCTACAATAATAAGCTTATTATTATTCTCCCAAGATGAGTGGGCAGTGCTTAGAAACCCTATTTTTCAAATAAAAGTCCTTTGTTTCAAAAAATGGGATTTATAAATTGTAAATGAGTTTGCATGGAGATTTAATTTTGACTGTAAAAGGAAAGTAATTTTTTGAGTTTTTATTAATGTTTACAATAAAATATAATGTCTTTTCATACAACCATTTGTGGTTATATTTATAAACAGCACCATTTGTTGTAACAGTGAACACAACCTTAATAAGAAATAGTCTGAGTTCTATGTAGTTCATTAATTTAATTTTGGAAAGTAGTGCACAATCTGTGGAAAGTAATCAGAGTTATGTGTAGCAGGTACAGATTCAGCAGTAAGAATCATATTGAAACTGTTCACTTGTGCTTCTGCTATAATAAAAAATGTAACTTGTTAAAGTAGCAGCTGCAGCCACTGCTTTAGACTGGGAAAAACAGCATGTTTGTGTAAAACAAGACAAACAAATACAACTCAATTAAAATACAAACTGACAAGACAAAAGGTGTTCACACTTTTCCTTAGGAGTGGAGAAAAATCTGTGTGAAGATGTATTGTAAAGTGAGAGGGAGATCAAGACTGAAATAGTATGTCACTATATACAAAAAACAAGGGCAACATCTCTCTATCAGAAGGCATTCACTACCTATATCATATACTCGACCTCACTGTCAGTATCACAATAGAAACTACATGGCATGCAAACTGCAAATGTCCACTGCAACATCATTTAGGTGACACCAGAAGGGAATGACCTCTGATTGTGTGTGCTAGTGTATGAAATATGGTCATGGGAATACAAGGCAAATTTTCTTATATATATGAAAATCTATACATACACTGAATGCATGCATCTCTGAAAATGTTTTTAAATGTTACGGTAAACTCACATTTACCCAAGTAACTAGATGAAGAAAAGATGACACTTTCTCTTACTACACAAATATCATGTAATGTAGAAATATTTTAACTCTAAATAACATATTTGTTTTTCATTTTAAGAGGGTTTGTCGGCTTTTTTTCAGTGCAAAGCTATACAATTGGCTATTTATGCTCTGTCCACTGTGAGGAATCAACTTAAGAGAGAATCTGTAGTTTTGAACAATAAGTAAATCACCAAATCCAGTGGTGGTGCTTAATGGAAATAACATAAAGAAATTTAAAGAATTCTTCAGTACTTAAATATGTGATTATCAAAGAGGAAACTGTAGAATGAAGCAAAAAAAATGCTCTTAATGTAGATATAATTGGTCATTGGAACTGTCAAAATCACAGTTCAACTGTATATACTGAATCTAAAATTTTCATTATAAAATTATGATCAACGAAAAGAATTTTATGTTAAGTCATTTTATCTTATTGCTAATCTATTGAGTATTAGTAGCTTTCATACATGGCATTTTTAGTATTGGAGGAGTAATATTTAATGAGATGTGAATTTGTTCAAAGTACATTGGTTTATTCTGTAGATCTGACCAAAAAAATACTGAAGAAAAGCCTCAACTAATTTCAAGTAGAGCGGGAACACCAGAATTAAATCAATGTAAGTTTTTATCTTTGGTAGTTTCAGCTGTGGATAAGCTGTTAACCCATTCACTGCAGCTGGGACGTATATTTCCAAGTGCTCCCATGCCCTCACACTGTGACTGGGGCAAATGTTTCCCATTGTCGATGCTGGTTATGCCTTCCTCTGCTAGGTCCATGTTCATCATCTTGACTATCATCACTAGATGGAGAGGTAGCATCTTCTTGTCTCATTGCCTCTTCATCATCACACCTCTTGATTCACTTTCATTTCTGCTGATTTTTCAAAGCCCGTTCCCTTGGCTGTGGTTTCGCAAGATAGTAGATAGGGACAGTGGGAATCTCATTAATCCATTCATGCACGTCACTAATTAGATGACGAGGCATTTGGCTACCTTAAGAGGGTCATAGTTACTCCAGCCGTTTACCCGCGCTTGGTTGAATTTCTTCACTTTGACATTCAGAGCACTGGTCCAGATTCATCATCTTGACTATCATCACTAGATGGAGATCTAGCATCCTTTTGTCTCATTGCCTCTTCATCATCACACCTTCATCTGAGTCAAGCTCATCAAGCATATTTATATAGTAATTAGGGTTAATACTTGCTGCTCTAGTGATGCAGGCAAGGTTGGCACGCAGTTTTCGTACATTCCACTTATTGGTTACTGAAGGGCTGAGTGGAAGAACATTGAAGGAAACCATATATCGATATTAAAAAGGATGCCAGTAAATACTTTCCAACTCATTTTACTCTCATATGTCATGTGCAGCAATTTTGGATGACAATTGCAGTGTGAGGGGTGGGAGCACTGGAATATATACGTCCCAGCTGCAATGAAAGGGTTAATAAGGTCAGTGGCAATTTGGTTTATAATTTTTCTTATAATAAAGCTATAAAATTATAAAAGAGCATTGTGATATTTTTCTGTATGTATTATTCCTTTTGAAATAAGTATGGTGTGCAGTTTGTTTTATATTTACAACTATATTTCTGTGGCTTATCTTATAGGCTAGACAAGGTTGTTTTCAATTCCAACTTAAAATCAGTTATTACTAAGCTCTGGATGAAGAGTATGCTAAGACTAAATTTCTAGGGGTATGAGCCATTCTTTCACTACTTATTATATGTAATCTTGAAATGAATTTCATGAGCTCTCCATCTCTAAAAAACTCAAGTTTTGAGACTCTCTTCCACTAATGGTGAGTGCCTACATGTGAACACAATCACAGAAGGACATCTACTCAACTGTTTTGGTACTATATGTCATTTGTATAGAGAAAATTGTCTACTTGAGAGAGAAGAATGCTTTTGTCCAGATGATATCTAGTTGATTCTTATTTTATTTCTAAAAAATGTTTCATTCAAATACGTAAATTGACCTTAAAGTTAATTGGGTGAACAGTAACCTAATATTCTCATCATGAATAGCTGTTGCCAGGATTAAACAAAAAATAGCATCCATTTTAAGTGATTAGAGAAGCTTATTGTATAGAGTGACAATCCACGTAAAAATCAAGTAAGTTATACCATAGATTTCAAACACACATGTAACAGCTTTGGAATGTAGAAAATGGAGATTACTGTATTATCATTTCTTCCACAATTAAAGTATGAATATAGTAGTAAATTGTTAACTTTCTTGTCTTGAATATGTATTTTCCTGGGATCAAGTTAACTTGTGTGTGTGTGTGTGGTTTGGTCAAAGAGGTTACCGTGGTTAAAGGAAATAGGTTAGAAGACTCATCTCCCATTAAATTATCATTATGATTTTTGTGGGTAAGAATTATTGATGGTAAAATCAATTTGTTGAGTTAGATTTGTCTCTTTTTGAAGTGAAGTTTACCAAGCTTGAGTTTCTTGTTCACTCTGTCTGCTAATGTTACACTATAGAAGCCAGTCAGTACAGAGATTGTCATAAAAATTGTGTCCAAGAGAAAGTTTTTGACTCAGTGGTGTGCATTTAATAAAGATTGTGTTCTTGTTTTGTTCAACAACTGACTAGTCTCTTTCTTTCATTGGTTGAATTTGACTTATTCTCTGTGCAAAGCTTATCCCATCATTCCTCCTATTGTTATGATATTTTTAACTTCTTATTGGTCATAGTTTTAACAGTGAATACCATGTAAATGATAATTAGAGAAAACTGGCATATTTTAACGATTTTTATTTTAATTACAGGCTTTTTTTTCCCTTCACATGTTATTATTTTACAAATAATGAAAATTATTATTTTTTTCTTAGTATGGAATGAAATGATACATTTAAAACTGGAGTCTCTGGAATCTAACCCACAGGAAACATTGTGGCCTGAAGACACCTTATTTTGTTACTTGCAGCTCCTTGAGTCTTTGTGTGAAAACTTAGAAGAGAGGAAACAGCTGTTGGAGCTATCTGGTTTGTACTATATGTTAACAAAATAAAGAAAAAACTGGTATTCAGGCAGCAAATCTACTTTTACACACATTAATATTGGGCCAATAACGTAATTCAAGGTTATTATACCTGCATACAATTATCAGATAGGTGCAAAAACAAGAGGTTTGTTGATCTAATAAACAAAAAGATAAATGTAATGATTTCTTGAAGGTAAAACAAAAGCAACAAGGAATAGTGTTGAAGTTAGAATATAAAATAAGCACAGGTGATTGTTCAAGTGGTAGGAGTAGGTAAATGAAATGAATGTTCAACAAATGGAAATATAATGGAAAAACAGAGCTTCCACCAGTGAGTCTTGGCTCCCTCAGATCAAAGATGAACTGCCATCAAAAGTTAGAACAAATCTCATCAAAAACTGCATTCACTGTACACATTCGTTCTGTACTTGACCAATCAGAAAAAGGGGGCACCAAAATGTGGAAGTATCTCTACTTCATGTGACAGATGTAAAGTATCCTCCAAACATGAGGTCAATCAGGACACAATGCAAATGTAATTTCCACATGACACTGTAAAATTCCTTGATTGGTCAAGCAACAAAAAGTAAGGCCTCGGGCTAAACTTTTGCACAAGATCTCAACTGTATTTATTATGTTTCAAAACTATAACTTAGAAAATGTTAATATTTGTGTAGATAAGAAATACATACTATATAGGATAGGATTTTCTTCAAGCCAACATTAATTTAAATTTAAAAGCAATGAGAAATTTACATCATGATCCTGAGGAATTGTAGGAAAATCAAAACCCTCAGTTAGACTAGACATGAACATCATGGAATGGTAGAACATGGTAATGCACTAAACAAACCACCTCTAATAAGACTCACGTGTACGATGAACATCATTGACTAAAACATACAGCAAGCTAAGCATGTAAAAACCCTTTAAAATCAATACTGCAAATAAAATAGCTCTTTTAATTCTGATTCCTGTATGGGTGCAGCCAGCTTTGAGGGCAAAATTATGTCACATTGAATTAAAATTGTACAAAAAATTAACTTGTAGCCATTTTTTTCCTATTTCCACTGCCTGGCATCACCTGGTGGTTAGGGGAATCTATTCTCAATCTATGGGTCACAGTTTTGAATCCCATCACTGAACATGCTAGCCCTATAGGCCATGGGAGAATTACAATGTGACAAACAATCCCACTATTTGATTAGAGTAGCTTAAGAATTGACAGCGAGTGGTGTTGACCAACTGCCTTCCTTCTAATCTATCATTTCTGATTTAGCTTGAGTAGTTTTGCATGAAATTCAACCAAACAAACGTTTTTCTATACATTAAAAGAAATACTTCAGAGCTGAATTTTTTCAGTAAAAAAAGTTGTATATATTTAATTTATACAAGAAAATTAAAAAATTGCAAATTTTCATTTTGAATTGATTTTATCACTCCTAGTCAGGACAACCTGTTCCTAAAAGCTGCTCGTAGAGTCCCCAATCACTAATCAGGAGCTTGACACTTGCAGGCATACGTAATAGTCAGAAGCATGCAAGTTTGATCCTCTAACTCAATGCTGGGCTGCAAGTATTATTCCAAAATTTCTGTGATGATGAATAAAGACTTGTGAGTTAGGAAAAGCACAGAAATACAAAAATAGTATGAAATATCTCAACTGATATACAGCAGGGATAAGAACTCTTACTGCTGTTCTGGTATAAACTGAAAACAACAACAACAAAGAAAGGAATTATATTAATCTAGTCAAACTATCTAGATATGAGTCAAGAGTTCAGACTAGTATAAAGTGAATGGTGATATCCGTAGTTCAACTACACATCAGTTTCCAACACAGTATAGATTTATAGTAAAGTGTAAGGATTTGTTTGTTTTGGAATTTCGCGCAAAGCTACACGAGGGCTATCTGTGCTAGCCGTCCCTAATTTAGCAGTGTAAG